GCAGGAAGGGCATGAGTGATCAGAATTCGCTCATCGGGAGCAGTGGGTACTGTTCTGGTGACAAGTACATTAAAAGCCCCGACTCCACCGTTCTGCAATTTATCCATGTAACAAAAAACAACTATATTCCTAAATCTACTGAATTTTTTTTAAATATGTAGCAATAAACAGAAATGGTGGACAAAGTACAATATTAAAGAAAAAGAACAAACACTACTATTTCTTGAATACTTATAGGTGCTATGATTTCCATGTCATACATTTACATTCCAACCTAATAACAGTATCTTTGAAATTCATGTTATCATTGATAATTGCCAGAGTTACCTACTACACAGCTTTGGAAACTTGTTATTCAATAGAGGACTCTTCATCTTAGCAGGTTCTCTTAGAATCATTGTCATTGTCAAAATCTTATAAATGAAACAATTTCCTGTGTGTAATATGCTGTATGTGGTCATGCATGTAATAATTGCCCAATCTAGCTTAAGTACTACTAAATTTATAATACTATTAGCATGTATACCACCATAATCAAAAGGAAAACACATTTTCTCTCACCTGGAGAAGTAGTCTCCATTCTTCTCTCAGTCACATGCAATAAAAGATCATGACTTTTTTAATATTGAATCTCTTCCTTATAATTGTTAGTCTTGAGCAAATCATTAAACTTGTTTGGCAATTTTAGTCTTTAAATGAAGATAATCATACTTACCTGTCTCTTCCATCTTAGAACAATATTCTGAAGCAAAATATATCCTGCTCCTTGATATAGTCAGGCAATTATTTGCTACTAAGCAATCTTTTATTCTCGGGGTCTTCTAATGTAGGCATTTGGTGGTGAAGAGTTAATTATTCTCTTCTCCATTTGGAATCCTTAGGGCCTCAGAATATCTCTAAAACAGCTCTCCCAGCAGGATAACCATGGAAGAAACTGATTACATCATTATCTCTGTTCTGAAAAGCGTAAACAACTCTGATTTTTAACAGACTTTCTTTCTTGCATTTCAATTTAAATACAATACACATTAAAAATGAGATAAAAAATATGTACCTTTATTTAAAATATAATTATATACATGTGTGTTTGGGTGTGTGCTTGTTTTAATTTATTCTGTCTTTGTTCCTTTAATTATTTCATCTTCCTGTCATCATGCTTTTATCATGACAATTTGGTTCTATCTGCCATTTTAAGTAGATGAAAAAAATAGACCAATAGACAAAGCTGCTTGTAAGATAGTTAGCTGGAGGTTCCCTATTTTGTAAGATCTAAAGTAGGTCCTGGCTAGATAGGTGCAGAAATTGTTCACGGAGCACCTTAGTGTGGATCAGGGGCCACACTAGGTGTCCAAGATGTGATCTTAGATAATCCGTGAGACTGTGCAGATACACTTTGCTGTAATGTGCTCATCTATAAAATGGGAATATTATGTCCTACGAACATTTGAGAGACTAGAATGAATGAAGCACTGAGAATTGTCCCTGATGTACGGCAAAGATCAATGAAATATTTACAAACATAATTATTGTTATAATAATTTACCTTTATAATAATTTTTGAGAGAGTTATTATTTATCCTTATTTCATAGGAGGGAAAACTGAAGTTTGGGGAAGTTATAAACATGTTCCAAAGTCAAAGACTATAAATAGTGAAGTAAAATAACCCAAACCGATTTTATTGGAACCTGAAGATCATCGTGTTCAGCTCATTTTCTTTTTTTTTAAATCACTATGAAAGAATTAGCCACTTATAACACCTTTAGTCAAATGACAGAGCTTTTAGCATTTCCAAGTATTATTTTTACTAAGTAATTTATATTTGATTACATAATGGGTTTGCTGACCATATAGATTATTTTATAAAATACATTTGATTTTGGCTTTAATTTTATAATCAAGTGCATTTGAAAATAATTTTTTAAATTAGATTCTTTATGTGAATTTACTGGTCAACAGAGTGCAAACGTCACAATTTCTACACTTAAAATTGGTTGTGATTTTATTGTCCCAATAAACAATCATTTTGTTTCTAGCTGTGTTAGCTGTTGGTAATAGCCAATAATGTGCATCTCTCTATATTTGCACATTCAAATGAATTCAATATTATTTTATTTAAAATCTTAAATGTCTTTTTAAAAATCTAACCTATTAGATAGATTAATATTAAGAATATATAGATCTCCTATGTTTACATGTCTATCAATTTTTCTCAGAATTTTTAATATACACAGTATGTCTATTTTTATGCCTATATCGACCTTCCTATCCCTTAATATGTTTTCATTTTGAATCCTATCTTTTGAGACAATTATGTTGCTGTCATTTGGGGGGGGTAGCCTATATTTATTATGTGTGTATAAATATGTGTGTGTGTTTATATACATATACACACACATTTTTATTTTTAAAAAAATATGACAGTGCTAGGTAGCACCCATAGCTCGGCAAGTAGGGTGCCGGCCACATACACTGAGGCTGGTGGGTTCCAGCCTGGCCTGGGCCTGCTAAATAACAATGACAACTGCAAAAAAAATAGCCAGGCATTGTGCTGGGCACTTGTAGTCCCAGCTACTTGGGAGGCTGAGGCAATAGAATTGCTTAAGCCCAAGAGTCTGAGGTTGCTGTGAGCTGTGACATTATAGCACTCTACAGAGGGTGACATAGTGAAACTCTGCCTCAAAAAAAAAAAAATGAGGGTGTTATTAATTAATTAATTAATCTTAAAGACAGGGTCTCACTATGTTGTCCAGGCTGGACTAGATCTCTAGGCTTAAGTTATTGCTCTTCCTGCCTCAGCCTGGGAGGCTGGGACTACGAGCATGCATTACCATGCCTGACACAGAGAATACATTTCACTAATAAAAGCTTTTCATTATTCTTTAAAATATATATCCTTCCTTGCCTTTGTACACTGTCTATGAGTACTTTAACTTGTATAGCATAGTAGTTTTTTTGTTTTTGTTTTTGGGGGGGTTTTTTGGCAGTTTTTGGCCAGGGCTGGGTTTGAACTCGCCACCTCCGGCCAGCACCTTACTCCTTTGAGCCACAGGTGCCACCATATAGTAGTTTTTTTTGACGATAGGGTAGAAAATTTAGTGTCATTGAGATACAATAATGTGTAAGATAGGCCAAAAGTATTAATAATTTCTGCTACCTTAGATGATAAATCGAGGGTTATCCTTAGACTTAAACCTCCATTTCAAAGGGCAAAGTCATCCACAGTGGGCTGAGTCAGGGAAAGTAAACCAGGCCATGCGTATCTCCAAACCATTTCCCCAACAACAAATTTTCCTTTGCTAGAAAACATTAATCCTGTCTCTCCTTTTCTTCCTGTCTAAATGCTATTCTGAGGATGTCGCAAAACAAGACGTGATGAGACATGTGCATTGTGAAGATGAGTAAGGCTGCTCGTGAGCTCGTGAGCTCGTGAGCTCGGTGGAGAGTAGCTGGCTGCCTGCTCACGCCATTCCCTCCCACAGACCGAAACTTCTTACCTTGGGGCTACTCACAAGTCCCTGACAGTGTTTGGCAACATTATGAGAGGCTTTTGAAAGCTGCTTTTATCCACTTTTGACATTCAGTTTCAAAGACTCTTTTAACATTATTTATATCAAGTTTTAGAACACAAGAAAAAGTCGCTGTTAGATTCAACGAACATAAATAAATTTGCTAATACTCTAGAGAGAATGAAGAATGTCCTTGACATTTAAAAACCATATCTAACTACCCTAAGCCCTCAAGAGATGCTAAGTAAGTCATGTGCCCTGAAAAAAAAAATAGGATCTTTTTTATGACATGAAACTTCTTCTGGTATATCTGGAAACTTGAATATCATGTGACAGTGCAAAGTGGCTTCACCTAAAATAATATTACCCTCATTTTAAGTTAAGGACACAGTAATTTTAAAAAGTCCAGAATAGCTTAATGCACGCTGATAGCTAACAAATCTAGATTTCATTAAAAACAAAAATGTAATTTAAGAACATTTTTAGAACAGTCGCTTATAATTTTAAGATATATAAATTTTCATGTATCTGAGGAAAATATTTAGACTTTTCTTTTAAAATAGTAATTATGAAACATTTATCCATTGGACAACAGGGTGTAATGACTGTCATGGGTGTTAGACTACTAAAACGGTTTTTGTTCAAAACATTGGGATTCAATATTCAGTTAGCCTTTTACATTTGTTATTAAAATATGACATTAAACATGCACATTACTACAATAAGCGATGAAATTGTGTGACTCTTGATCTACTGGGACTTTTCGCACTCACATGGCTTTCTCAGAACACGAAGGTGGAAGAGGAAGCTATGGGGAGGCTGTCAGGTGATTCCCCCTTGTAGTGACAGCAGGGAGGTGCATGTGGGACAGAACAATAGAAAAGCTCAAATCTTGTTTCAAAATCCTTTAGAAAGTAACAAATTTGCAGAAATTTGAAGAACACTTTATTGCCATGATTTTGACTTAATGCTAAAAATATTATGCATGCATTTTAGTGAAAAACATACCAGGCAAAATATTTCAGAAAGGAGAAATAACCATCAACGGCAAAGGCTTTACGGAACATTTATGTAACACGTTGTTTGGGGGCCTGCACACAAGCAGACTTGATAAAACTGTATCCCCAATTGTATTCCCAAGTACAGACTTTCCCAAGCAGCACTCAGCCTGAAAATTCTAAGTTCTGACACTCTTCTGAAATAAATAGAAATACCGAGAAAGTGGAAAAATACTAACAGCCTTTAAAATTACTTTTAATGTTACCAGTCTAAAAATTATTGGAGCAGACTACCTCAACACAATTTTAAATACAAAAAATAATCCTGTGTCTTCATAGTAGAAAATCTGGAGCTAAGAATTTCCATGTGTTTTCCTTTTATGGTGAAATATCCATCCTAAAACCTTTCACTTTTCCTCCCCTGAGTTTTTAAAGTGTTGACTTTAGTATTAATCCAAATGTATGCACTTAGAGACAGAGCTGACCATTACTCACCCAGCGCCTGTCTGCGGGGACGAGAGGCCCAGGTTATTCGGCTTCCCCAGCTGCTGGCTGCTGGAGTCACTGTGCTGCCTCAGTCAGCCGTGGTTTATTTGTTGCAGGTGATCAGAAAGACTTTATTGAGGCCTGCAAATCTGTTGACAAAACTGCACAAGGTCAACAGGAAGTTGGTGCGTCACAGCTGCTTAGGGGTCTAAGTACAACAAAGAGCTCATTGAAAGCTGAATCTGGAATCTGGAATTATTGCTCTAGGGTAATTATGTTAGCAAATGAAGATCCTTTACTTTTAAGTATGTCTGATTTCAACTGTAAAAGCCAAGCAAATGTTTTCATGGCAAAGGTGCACCTAGTAAAAGCTTCACCTAGTGATGATTTTCTGCACCTCTAGAACTGTGTGGGCAAGTGGAACAGGTAAGGACATGCTCCTTGAGAGAGAGAAAAGAGAGAGAAACAGCCAAGAAAAGCCAGAGCGTCCTGCTCTCACATGAGGCCTGCCCCCTCAGAGGGAGGAGTCTGTCCACTGCCTTTCTTAGCCTCTTGGTAATAGTGATATCTACTTCAAATAAAAAGAACTGGCTTGAGATTCTTGTAATTTTTCATATAACCAAAATAATTTCTGTAACATGATTTCTTTTTGTCACTTAAATTATAAATAATGCTTCTGACAAGAGTCGTAGGTTTTAAATTTGCAAGTTTATCAATATGTAGAATACTGGAATTTGAAGTTGAACCTTTCATTTAACAAAATATAAAGATATAGTTATTCTTTATCACCAACCTCTCTTAACATCCCAAACAAACATTTTCTTTGGCTCCAGTTCTTAACTTTGGAAAGTTGAGAACTTTGGAAAGTTCTTAATAAATTTTTTTTCTTGTTTTCTCTGCTCCAGGGAGAAAAAGAAAAACAAAAACAAGAAAGGACCTGAATGGCACGCTGAGGATAGAGCTATAGGAAGGCAAAACAGCTGGAGGCAATTTTTACAGATACTTTTACAGATTGTTTGAAAAGCATGAGATAAAGATTCCCAGTTGGCCTCCCCACATGCATTGCAGCCAGAAACATGATCCTCAGACCTTCAGCTCCCACCTCCGCCTTTGCAGGAGACTAGAGATTTATGTTCTGCAAAAATCACGATTAGGAATTCATGATTTAGAGTCACCAGATATAGCTCAGGATGAGCTATCATGATGAAAACAAGAGAATTGAGTGATAATGTCCTTTTGTGAATTTGACTGAGAGATGCAGCCCACTTGATTTAACCGCATGAGAAAGTGCCAGAAAGTGTCCACTTGGCTTCATTCTCCTCTGTCCCTTAGACCTGCCAAGTAGAGACTGAAGACCCAGGATTCTGAGGATGTGGGCCATACTCCTCGTCCTTCTAGGACAGAGGACAGGATGCAAGGAGGCAGAGAATGAGACTTATACTCAGCACAGCACCTACAAATGATGTGTTAGAGGGTCTTCTCTTTCAAAACCTAATTATTATTGCAATTCTGAAAGCATTGTCAATTTCACTGGTAAAATACAATATTTAAAATTTTTCCTATATATTCTCCACAGATAAATTTTACACATTTGCATAACTTGTTTTATATAATGCATGTATTTATGTGTGTACATATACATATGTTATATAAGCATCACTTTTACATGCAACATATAAAGACATAAAACATATTGAAAGAAGGGAAATATGTGCTTAATCTAAAGATGAATTGTACATGGAACAAAACTTCAGAATTTGAAGGACGGATACCATATAGTGAATTTTTTCTGCACTACCCTGGCTCTGATAAGACTGAGCCTAAGGACAGGCATGATCCCTGGTTTCTTCTAAGTACAAAGGCTTTGGCAGAATATATGAACTATGAATAGCCTTTAAAGTGTGATGAAATTTTGTGGTTTTGCCATGGTCCAGGAGTCTCAAGCGATTCTGACACTTTTGGACAAACACTGGGAAGGTCAGGAGCCTTGCTGTGGGCACCATGATGAAACTAGCATCTCAACAGGAAAAAAAGAAAAATGAGTGACTGGGCTGCAGGTGAGACCGTGTATTAAGAGTGACACTGGGGATGACCTGAACTCTTCATAGCCCAGTTCATCTGGAGTATCGAATGTAAGGAACGCCCACAGTTCTGAACACAAAAGGTTATAACAAGGCAGGAGAAGGCCCGGAGAGTTGGCCGTATTCATGCTGGGAAATCTTCACTGCTCCCTATGCTTCTCGGGGAAGGAACACACATTCTTGCCCCAGTGACACTGGACTTGGGGGTATTTGGGGCCAGTGAGATTGAGGCTTTAAGAGACATTGCACTTTATGCTCTGTCTCTTGCTCTTCCCTCTACCTGGGGAAGAGGGAAGTATGAAAAGTATGAACTTAGTTGTCAGGTCTTTATAGAGATTCTATCTCAAGTTTGATGTAGCCCAGCTCTATTCCCAGCTTGTTCAGAGTTTTTATCAACTGTGAGCATGGGATGTTACCAAACCCATTTTCTAAATCAATTAATATTATATGATCACTCTTCTTTGGCTGTTGATAGAGTGGATTACACTGATTGATTTTCAAATCTTGAAACAGTCTTATATAGCTGAAATAAATTTCAGTTGTTCATAATGTATAATTGTAGGTAGATATCATTAGATTCAGTTTGTTAACATTTTCATTGAGGATTTGCATTTGCGCTTATGACAGATATTTCTCTGTGATTTTCTTTCTTTGTGCTATCTTTTCCTAATTTTGGTGTGGGTGTAAATCAGAGTATCCAACTCATAACATTGAAAAGTGTTCTCTCTTCCTGAAAATTCTGAAAGAAATTCTAAAATTGTCCTTACTTTTCTTCAAATGTTGGTGAAATTCTCCACAGAAGCCATCTACACCTGGGAATTTCTTTTTCAACAATATTTTTGTTACATATATAATGGTTATAAAGTATTAAGATCATCTACTTCATCGTGTATGAGTCCGCTAGTGTATTTAGTTATCTATTTTTTACAACCACATTCTGAAACAAAGTAGTATGTAGTTTTGAGGAATTGGTCCTTTTTTCCTAAGCTGTCAGATTTATGAGCCTATATCTGCTTCTCATTGCCTTTTACTGGACACAGAACACATGGTGTCAGCCCTGCTCTCATGGCTGATTTTAGTGATTTACTTCTTTTATCTTTTCATCTTTGTTAATTTTGGTACAGTTTTATTAATGTTACTGGTGCTGGGGGGTGAAGAAGGACTGGAAACCCTGGTGCCGGGCTGTGTGCATGATGGCGATGGTGGGGCTTAGTCACCCCAGCCACCTGCCGTGAGTGTGGGACTCCTGCAGGCTGGGGCCAAAGAGGAGCCGGTGTGAGCTGCGAGAGGCCGAGCTGCGGGCTGCTCCCTCCCTGGTGGCCACCCACACTGAGCATTACTGAGAGGGAACAGGTCCCACACACAGGTTGACCCAAGGTCGGCCAAATCCAACAGCTACTGGAACAGAAGCTCGTTCTGCAGCAGCTCCCAGCTGCTCACCCTGGCGGAGTGGGAGCAGAGCCGCCCACCGCACACCACATGGGCTGGAGGCCGCGCTCCAATGGGCAGGGGACCTGTGGGCGCCACCGCAAGCAGCGTCCACCCAGTACTATGGCCCCTACCCAGATCTGGTTATGGAGCCGCCTCTTCTCCTGCGTCCCTGCCTGTGGCCTGCGCCATGGATTAGCGAGAGCAGCTGCCTGTGTCCTGTGGCAATGAGGGAACCCCAACTGGGGCTGGGTCCTCAGGAAGCAGAGGGGGCTCCATTAGGACACTGCTGCTGACCAGCTTGGACAGACACCTGTGGAGCCACCTGCTGGTGAACAACATCTGGGCAACAGGGGGGCCGAGTGACAGGAGACCTATCTCACCTCTCCTTCCTCCCTGCCCAAGTCTGCTCCAGCCGCCTTGGTGCCCTGCGGGCCAGCGGACCTCCCCATGACACCTGCACCTCGCCCTGCTGCTACCAGCTGGCCCAGCAAACCTCCCACCACGTTGACCTGCGGGAAGCCACGACTCAAGCTGGCCTGTCCTTCTTCCAGAGCTGCTCGGACGACTCAGCCACCGACATCTGCCACTGGCTTTTGGAGCAAGGAGACTGTGGGGTCTGTGCCGCTGCCCCCCCCCCGAGCATAAGCGCGTCCCCCACCAGGGCCTCTGCGCCACTTGAACCAGTAGGTTCGGGACAGTTAGGAGCCCTCTGGTGACATCTCCTCTTCGAGCGTGGGTCCGGCCAGCAAGTGGGGAAGGACAGCTCCTGGCCGCTGTGGGTGTGGCCGCGCCCGGGGAGCCCTTTCCCCAGCTCCGGTCAAATGGTGGGGCCGGGATGTGGCTAAAGGGGATTTTGCTGGGGGAAAAAAAATGGTTACTAATTATAGTGAAAGATATTTCGTATTTGTAGAAAGTCAAAGAAAATCAAGAAGGGAATCATAGCTGTGGTTCTGCCCCCAGATGTGTGTGTGTGTGTGTGTGTGTGTGTGTGTTCCTTGATTCTTCCTCGCAGGGTTTTGAGGTTCATGTGAGACGATTAACATACATATACACATATCCGTATATGATTCACTACTAAATGGAAAAGAGTAATGAAAACGTGGTTCGGAATGCTTTTATTTTTAAAATGCTGAATTATTATTTCTAAAATGCTGAATCAACTGCGTTACATTTTTCCACAGATTATAGCTTTGTATAACACTTGTAAAAAAATAGAAAAGAAGAGGAAGCAAAAGAAAATAAAACAATAGTAAAAGATGATTGCAAGGAGGAAAGCACCTGGCTCCCCTTTATAGGAACTCCGCAAACACGGGAACCTGACCCATGATCCTTCACATGTCCCTTCCCCGCCAATCTAAAATTGTAAAGTAAAGAATGATAAAAAGACATCCTTAATCCATACACTCTGAGCAAAGAAAGCCCTGCTTAGCTCTCAGTTGGAAACGTCAGGGTGCATTTCTTCATTTGCTGCTCATAGTGTTTGTCGAATTTTTCATTCAGCGCTACTGTGAAGTGATTCTTCCAGTCTCCTATGACCCCTGCAAGAACAGAGGAAGAACAATCAGTAAAAAGGCTCGAAACAGAATCCTGAGGTCTTTCTAACATTCATCACTTTCATTAACACTTAAATACTATTCTTGACATTCTTTTTGTAGAAGACAATGTATACTGTAAATAATATACCTGAGATTACAAAAATAGATTTATCCTGATTTGTCAAATAAAAAAAAAATATTCTGATTCTTTCCTCTTATGTTACCTCACTCAATTTTTCTTTTGGAGTTTACCCCTGAAATGTTGGAGTTTCCACATAAGCCCATGTTTTCCCACTCCTGAAATATTAAAAATCATCTTAAGTTGATATCACTCAAATCCAGTCTTATGGTCCATATCCAACTGGCTGGGTGACGTTGCCACCTGGATGTTTTCCAAGTGTTATAAATTCAATTAGTTAAAAAATTAATTTTCTAGGCTGGGCAAGGTGGCTCATGCTTGTAATTCTAGCACTCTGGAAGGCCAAAGCAAGTGGATTGCTTGAGCTCACAGGTTTGAGACCAGCCTGAGCAAGAGAAAGACCCATCTCTAAAAATATCCGGGTGTTGTGGCAGACACCTATAGTGCTAGCTACTCAGGAGGCTGAGGCAAGAGAATGGCTTGAGCCCAAGAGTTTGAGGTTGATGTAACCTATGACACCACAGCACTCTACCAAGGGTGACAAAGTCAGACTCTGTCTCAAAAAATAATGATTATAATAATAATAATAATAATTTTCTTCCACACCAAACTGTGTTTCCTCTATGTATTTTTTCATAACCTGGTTAATGGCAACACCAGGCATTCAAAACATAAATGTGGAAGTTATTTCCTGAACCACAACATCTAATTCATTATTTATATTCAGGCTTTTTTTGGAGACAGAATCTCACATTGTTGCCCTGGATACAGGGCTGTGGCATCGTAGCTCACAGCAACCTTAGACTCTGGAGTTCAAGTGATCCTCCTGCCTCAGCCTTCTGAGTAGCTAGGACTACAGTCACCCATCACCCACCTGGCTAGTTTTTCTATTATTAGTAGAGATCTGGTCTTGCACTTGCTCAGGCTGGTCTCAAATTCCTGAGCTCAAGAGATCCTCCTGCCTTGGCCTCCCAGAGTGCTGGGATTACAGGTGTGAGCACTGGTGGCGGCAGGCATCCTTTGCACACACTGCCACCCACCCACTTCTGCCAGCGCCGGTGGAGAGTGTTTCCACCTCAGCCGTTACAGACCTAGCAGATACTGCCTTTTTGCTTTCTATCACACACCCAAAGCTCCTGTTATGGAAGAATATCACCCTCCTTTTTAAACTAGTCATGAGTTCATTTGCCCCCTGGCCCAAAGACTCTTAAATTTTCTCACTAAAATCACCCCCAAAGCAAAAGATAGAAAATATGTACCCTGAAAATCAGATAGGGCTTGAGGGTTTAGCAGTAATTGTGCAAGCATAATGATTACTTTAAGTCTTTTGTTTTACCTTAACTATATATGTAGACATTTTGGAAAAGAAGATAGAAATCCTGAGGGTGGATAATAAAATTCTAATCTAACACTTGACTCTTCTCAGTGGCTCTTTGTTTTTACCTGGTGGCATGTTTGCTGTCCCTTTATTTTACAAATTGCCTAGCCCTTTCACTGACAATATGTTTGGATGAACAAGATTTTCTCTATTCTGTTTTTGCTGCCTCACATATCAGTATTGCAGATGTCCCAATACTCTGCTACACTCCGTTAGATTTGTAAACTGACTACACTCCATGTCTGCTCAGGCCATGCCTTCTTCCACATAGAATTTCACCTCCTTACGTTTTGCTAATTTGTTAACAAAGGTGTATTTGAATTCCTACCTTTGCCACTTGATCTTAAAAAGTTGTCTGTCTCTTATTCAAGGAAATGATGACTAATTGTTAAGCTTGTTTCCTCATCTCAAGATAGAACATTTCTCTCAAGTTTCTGGTTAAAACTTAAAAAGACAAGAAGACAGAAGTCACATAGGCTTTGTCACGATGGTTTGCAGAGTGTGACGTTACCTCCGGTGTGGGGGTGAGGGTGTCTGCCAGTCAACAAAGACTCACAATTTAGTAGCAGTGTATAATGTGCCTGCACAATTGGAAACTCAGTAGAGAGAGTAATCATGCATCAGAGAGGACCAAAGAGACACGATGGGTCCACAGGCATGGACAGGCCTCACTGGATTTTTGCCTGTGACCATGTCACCTTGTGCCTTCCTATAACGGGACACACACCACAGACTTCTTACCCTTTCTCATGAAGGGCGACACCTGATGGTTCATCACATCTGAGGGCAGAATCGTGTAGTTGGTGTATTTGTTATTTTTCATCTCCTGGAATGAGGTATGTTGTATAATTTTGTTCACAAGCTCCTCTGATGGCTTCCTCTCTAGGAACTGAAACAATTTCATCACCTCTTTTCTGATATCCTAGGGAGAAAAATAATGCTTTGAGAATAAAATCATTAAAATTGAATAAATAACTATTTGGATAAAAAATGAAAGACAAAAAAAACCCTCCCCTCCACTGAAAGTGTATTTTTCCCCAGGCATGGTCTCGTTCTGTCACCCAGGCTGGAGTGGAGTGGAGTGGCACAATCATAGCTCACTGCTATTGTCTTGAACTCTTGGACTTAAGCAATCCTCCTGCCTCAACTTCTGAAGTAGCCAGAACTACAGATGCACACCACCATGCTTAGCTAATTATCACAAAATTTTTATAGAGATAGTGTCTTTCTGTGTTATCCAGGCTGTTCTCAAACTTGTAGCCTCAAGCAGTCCTCCCATCTCAGCCTCCCAAAGTGCTGAGATTATAAGTGTGAGACCCCAGGTCCAGCCTTTTAAAGGGATATAAAAGATACTTCAAAAATCATTAGAAGAACTAAATGAACTGATGTTTGTAAATGCTTACTATCAATCTGGTGAGTGTGAAATGAGAATCCCATGGAGATTTTTATTTTGAATTACTGTGATTACTAATAAAGCTGAAGAAAAACTAGGTGATGAGGAAATTTGAATCCCATCTTGGTAACTTTGCAAGCTACCATTTCAGCACTGTCTTTACTCTCTCCTGGAAGTTTGAGTGGATGTAAGACCTCACCCCTCAGTCCTGCGTACCTGTTACTCTTTATCAAGTATTTTATTGATCTCAATGTGCGACATTCTGCAGAACTCAGCTCTGTCTTTCACTTTGCCGATTCGTCATTTAACCCTGTCTACTTGGTTATTTAACCTATTCTTAATGTTCTATATTTAAAAATTTTATATTTTTAGAAATTCTATTTGGCTGTTTTTTTTTCAAATTTGCCCTGTCAATTTTAGTAGCTGCCTGTTTATTTGAAATTGTTAAATTTTCATCTTTTATTTCTTTAAACATATTAAGCATACTTATTTCATAATTCCTATTTGATAATTCTGACATGTATAGATTTGAAGACTAGTTGATTTATTGGTGATTCCTTGTGTGTGTATGTATGCACATGTGTGTTGTTATTTCATTAACTAAATTTCTTTCAAATTTATATTTTGGGAATTTTTTAAGACTTGGGTTTAAGTTTTTGAATAAATTTATTTTCTAGTATCAAATCTGTACTAAAGTAATGAGATTACTGCAGTTTTTCTTTTAAAACTTTTGGAGGTAGTTTTCATCCTTTATTTAAAGGAAGATTTCTATATCCAGAACACTGTCAGACACACACATCTTAGAAACTACCAACTGTCCACGTGTCTCCAGCCTCTCACCTTTTTCATGTCTTCATATAAAAGAAATAACACATGTGGATTCACTCTCTTTTCCCACCAAGATTTTGCATGATTATACCAGGAGCCATAGGGAACTAAAATTAGAGAGAAAAACAATGTAAAGGCAATACGTCATCTTTATACAGCTTGACAACAGGTTTTCAAACAATAACAACAAACAAATGAAAACGAACGATCATGAAATGAGAACTAATGGGTCAGCTGCAGGTCATAAGCAAAGTTCTCTGCAGCAAGAGCAGCAAAGTGTGTTGGTTAAACCACGTACAGAAACACAAGTACACACTATGTCGAAGTGTGTCATTATGACATAGTTTCAAAGAAAAGTAAGGAATGTCCTCTTCTCATCATTTTGACTCAGAGCTCCTGAGAACACTTTTTAAACTGGTGTATGTGTGTGTGTGTGTGTGTGTGTGTGCGTGCAATATCAGATTTTTACTGAATGGAGTTGATTGAATGAAACTATCAATGGTCTTTTAGCCAGAAGAGCTAAGTCTAGCTCTCAAATGTTCCATTTAAAGACTAACTGTGGCAGCTGAGGCCTGTAACTCTGTGAGTGCTTTTCATGCTGCAGATCAGGTGTCCTCAAATACGGCCCGCAGGCCACATGCAGCCGGCCTAGGACATTTTCTGGCCTGCCAGGTATTTTTGCCACCGCTGCCTGTCCTACTTAGCAGCCAACTCATCCCGGGGCCCTCAGTCTGGCCCTCCAGTGGTCTGAGGGACAGTGAACTGGCTTATTGTTTAAAAAGTTTGAGGACCCCTGCTGCAGATGGTAAGGGTATTTTCTTAGGGACCTTGGTGTCATTCTGACTCCAGAAAATTTGAACATTTTGGAGATGGTATGATATGAACAAATGTTCTTTCTTCCCTTTTATTTCTTTCCCTTCTGTCCCCCACACAAAAATATTTCATCCAATTAAAAGCTGACAAAACACAATGACACAGGAGCCAAAGGGCTCTGCTCTGTGTTAACTCACTGGATACTTCCTTGATTCTTTGACCCTAGTGGGCAATTCTCCTAAGAAAACACTTCCCCATGATATTTATGGTGATCTTATTTGTCATTTTGAAAAGAAGCAACACTATTTTTCTCAGCCCTACACCGCGAGACTTGACAATGTGAGGTATGTGTTTTATGCGTGACGCTTCAGCATAATTTTTCCTGAGATGTAGCAGCAAACACATATGCCTTACTTTTATTGAGTCAAGGTTACCTTCTGTGCATATGAAAGCGGCATTATTATTTTTTCTTGCATTTGCTACTTACTACAGGGTAAGAAGACCCTTCTTTAGTGAACACGGCAGTGTGCCACACCCTATTCCTCAAATCCGAACACCCAGTTGCTAAAGAGTCAAGACTTCCCGGAATATCTGCTCAAGTAATTCTTAAAATGTTTCTGAGAGATCTGGTTGAAATCTCTGGGTAGAAAGAGCAAAGATTTTATACATACTCAAACTTCTTTGTATTCTGGCTTCATACGGCATGTGGCATTTTGGGGGAAACAAACGGACATTTTGTGTTCTCTATTCTCTCCCTCATTCCTTGTTTAATAGAGTTGTAATGACATGTTGTAAAATGCTTTTCCAGTAAAAATAGACAAGGCAGAGAATTGAACACAGAGTCTTGATGTTAAAGAGAAAAACTGCTATTTCAAACTCCACCATACTCACATATTTTTATTTTTAGGTATCTCACTGGAACATCTAAGTTATGCAATTTTCCATCTACGTCTGGAAACCTTATGTTTATTCTGAACCTTGAGAACTTTTAGGACTTCTGTCTTTTGATGACAAATCAAGATGACATAACCAGAATAAATGAAAATTCTGTTCAGAGATGTCTTATCTTGTATCTCTTACCTTGAAAAAAAATCTGAGATAAAAAGCTGCTCTTACCTTGTCCCTCCATGAATTTCTCCACAAACTCTTCAAAGGATCCAGGATTTGGGTGTCCTCTTGCCATTAGAAAAAAATAATAAAAAGAAACAACCACATCCTTTGGATTCCGGCAAAGGTAGATCATCTAAGAAGATGAAATCGTGTATTAAGCCACTTCATACGGTTTCACAAAGTCTCAATATTTAAAAAGAAAGCATTTATGTTTTCAACTTTCAGGGTAATACATGTCCATTGTGCAAAATGTGCAAAATATGTAAGATTATAAAGAAAAACCCTTCAGGAACCTGAGGTGACAGCCTCCTTTGTAACATTGTTCAATCTTCAATATTTGTTCTTTTTATTTTTATGCCATTTTTCCATGTATTATCTCATTTGAATGTTGTACATTGATAAATATAAATTGAGTCAGTTAGATTAGTTATTATCACTCTTTTTTTTTTTTTTTTTTCTGGAAAGGGGGTCCTGCTCAGCCGAGGGTGAAGGCTGGAGTGCCGTGGCTGGGTCACAGCTCACTGTAGCCTTGACTGTCCAGGCTCCAGGTTCCTGATTACCCCACCTGAACCTCCTGGGTAGCTGGGACTATGGTCTGGATCTTTTTTTTTTTTTTTTTTTTTTTTTTTTGCATTTCTATAGAGACAAGGACTAGTAGTTACATTACCCAGGCTGGTCTTGAACTTCTGGCTTCCCAAAGTACTGGGAGTACAGGTGAGAGCCACAAGGCCTCACCCCAGTTTATCAGGGAAGAGACTGAACTGATGTGCAGCCAGAATACACCGCTGAGAGTAAGTCTGGAGAGCAAACTTCTGCAGACAGTCGGCAGCGCTGTGCTCTGGTCTCTTTATCACACTCCTGTTATTTAATGTCCCTCTTCTCCAATCTCAGAAAGGCCTCAAACACCTCAGCCTTAGCTGCTCCTCTTATCTATTAAGCTGTTACTTTTATCACTTTCTTCCTTTTTCACGTATAGTTTCTGGTCCACCACTCTAAATGCACTTTTACAAATATCTTTAAATTATGTGTCTCCTTGTTCCCCCTCTATTATTCCCCTAGAAATATTCCAAATATGAAGCCATCCAACTGTCTCCTACTCCTTCATGGCCTCTGAGATGTAAGGAGTCTTGTGAAGACTTAGCTTTTGCAAATGTATGGTGCCTACTTTCACTTGAAAAGTAAAAATTTAGCAGTAAGCCTGCACCCATTCTACAAAGGAACAAAGTGGCCTGGGAAAATATCTTTAAAAAATGAGAACGACCTCTCTCCCGACTGACACACACATAACTGGTGCATGCTAGTAAGATGCCCTTATGAGCAGAATGACCCCAACAGGATGTATGTGGTCTGTTTAGGACTACTTATGATAAAAACAAACATTGGAATCTTTGAAATTTTAAGCTGTTGAACTCTGAAAAATGTCCAGTCTGCCACATCACATTCAGAATCCAACATGGGAATGTTTCTGAGGGAGGCAGATCGTCTTTCTATCAGGGAGAGCTGTGTGAAGTACTTCCTGCCCTCACGTCTGCAGGGTGGGTCACAGGGCACCCACAGAATCAGATAGGACGGGGTACAGCATTCATGGTCCCAGACTTTATATTTTGCCTGTGCTTTGGAGATTTATGTGACTTTCTTCCCAGAGGGCAAACCTGATGATGTAAATTTTCCACTTTATATGCCGATAACTCCTCGTCCCCACTGGAGCAGAATCCAAGCTCTTAATTTGGCTTCCGATGTTTCACGTGGTCAAGAGTCAGCTTATCTCTCTTCACTCATCCAGCAAATACGTATAGTGAACATTTCAGCCAAACTGACCGGATTTCATATCCCCTCCTTGTGTTGTCTCTGCATTTACGCAGACTAACTTCAGGCAGCCTTCAAATGTCAGCTCAGATGCTTCCTGCTCCTGGACGCCAACCCCGCCCACAGAGCCTGGGTTTGAATTCTCTTAGTGGACCCACAGAACCTCCTGCATTATTTGTTCCCTTGTTCTTTCCTCCAGTGCACCATGTCAAGGTTTGCATGTGATAAGCACTCAATAAATAATTACCCCATATTTATCTCATTAATCCTTTCCTGGTTCATTTATGTGCCTCCTGAAGCCAAGCACAGTATTTTGTAAAAGTAGGGTGCTCAACACAGTAGTAATAACAACAAATGCAAAAGGAAAAGCAACTACTGTTTTTGGTTCACTATCTACTAGGAGACGTGTGTAAATGCTTACACACATTATAAATGCTTACGCACATTATAAATGCTTACACACACCTGTACAAGCATTTTTTCATCTACTACTCACAGATTCCATGAGGGAGATGATATTATCGTCTTTCTCAGAAGCGAAAGCTGAGGCTTAGACAGTTTCACAGGTTTTCTCAGAGCCAAATGGCCAAGTTGGAATTATAATCTACACCCTGACTATCTGACTATATCCCACAATTATTAAATGTTTACAGACTCAGTGAAATAACAAAATAAATGATTGTGCATGAGATGCAGTTCAGATGCCATCTGATCAGATCACTCTACACTGTCTGGGGGTGGACAAAGTCCTGACGACATGTGGCTCTGGCTGGGTTACCTTACAATTCTTTTCCCAAAATGAGGCTGGAAGAAGTTCAGGTGGTAGATGGGTCTTCACTAGTCTAGGAGATGCCATCTCGTTTAATTTTTTTACTCCTGATATTAAAACATTAAAAGTTAAACAACATTAAAAATTATAAATATTTATACAGATTTCTGAAGATATTTCAAAAACAGAAGTAACTTTAAGATTCTGTATTGTGTTCATGATAATAATATATACTGACTATGAAAGAAGTATAAATAGGAGAAAATACAGAGAAAAAAATAAGCTTAAATGAAATTTCACTTCTTGGGAAAAATCATTATTAACTTTTTAGAAAGTAAGCTTCTGCACAAATACACCCCACTTCACAGACACCCCAATACCACATGCAGAGGTAAAGCTTTTGATGTCTTCTGAATACCTTTTTTCCCTCAATGTATTACATTCAAACTGCAGTATTAAGAAACATCCAAAAATGTACAATGACTTCATAGTGTTATTATATGACTTTTCAACTATTTTTTATTGATTAATATTCAGGCTATTTCTAATTTTTCATAACATTAAAAAATCTGTGATGAATATGTTTTTGCATACATCCTTGAAATATTTATGGGTATTTTCTCAGTATTTAAAATATTATGACATTCAGCCCACAGAGAAGTAAATGTTCACATATAGTGAGGCTCTGATGAAGGGTTACAAGACCTGTCTTTATTCACTCTGTTCCAGACACATGTTAAACCATAAGCTCTGCAAAGACTTAAATAGAAATGTCTAAAATATAATCTGTTGAATATAATCTGTCCTCTCTCATGCGTAGGACTTAATCCTCACTGAAGCTCTTGCTGATGGCTCCGTGCTGGCACCATCTACATGCACACCTTGGCACACACACCCCACTTGTAAATCACATTGGGCATTACCATTCATGGTGACAGTATCGTCTCTGCATTCCAGGTAAGGGACTCGATCAAAAATCGCTTCTTTGCACTTTTCCACATCACCTTCTTTATAGATCATGCATACGATTTCACTAACCCAGGTTGTACCTGTAAAAATTTTAAAAATCTTATTTGCCTGCTGACTATATAGGGTTGATGATGCTGGATTTATGTATAGACACAATAGGAAGGTACCAGTGTAATGTTATTTGCAGGGGGTCTGAATAGCCACAAGATTCAAGAAATATTTTTCTTAATTTCATATATTATTAGAGCCCCAAACAACCTCAATAAATTAAGACAAGTATTACAGTAAGGCACACCTGTGAGATGTGCTCAAGTTTGCTCTTGATGGATTTTGTGCAAGCTGATATCAGGTATGAACTTCAATTTTTATGTCTAAAAAGTAAGGTGGCTTGAGTAGCAGGAAAGACACATAGGCATGCCTCAGTCACGAACTTTACTTATTGATGCCTTAGACTGTGTCCTAGTGCATACAGCATGGAAAAGAGAACATCTCGTCCCTGTCCTGTTGTGGCCAAGAATCCACTGAAGAGTCAGTAACATTGTCCAATAACTGCTGTGACAGAGCCTGGAGGGAGGTGTGAGTGACTGAAAGGAGAAATATGCGATGGGGAATGCTGCTGCTCCTGCGGCTGCTGCCGGGTAATGTTTTGGCAAGAAATCCCATCACAAGGAACTGACAATTGAGCTCACCCTTAATACGCTGCTGGCATAAATTCACAAGTTATGGGAGGGAAAAGAGGGTTCAAATAGGGAGGAAGAGGACAAATCTCTACCAAAAATAAAACCTATGTTTGCAAGGTCAAAGATCAGATTAGATCAGATTAAGTTTTTAAAAAAAATCTAAGGTTAGATATTTAACAGTGGCATAGTGATGAGGAAAATAATTGGAGATGGGCTGTAAGTCCTAAATCAAAGTGTATGCCTACAGAGGGCAGTGGGGCCTAGCTCACAGAGGCAAGCAGAAGGGCCTGTGTGCAAACGAAAGGGTCTGCCTCACTGTTCAGAGTCCAGGAGCAGCATCAGCAGATGTGAGCCAGGATAGCAAGTTCATCAGCACTGTGTTTAGAAGAACTTTGCTGATGACACAATAAACATAGCCGTGAAGTGAGGGGTCATAGGAAGGGAGATTGGAGGCCCTGCGTGAGGCTGAGTCCCCTCAGACTGAGAGGGCAGATGAGGTGAGCGGCGCAGGGAGATCCCTGAGGGACAGGACTGAACCAGAGCATCTGCCAGCTTCCAACTTCAGTCACTGGTATTGTGCTGCCATTGAGCCCAACAGGGAAGAAAAGTAAAAGAGCAGATTTAAAGTCAAAATAGCCAAAGACATATTGATGTTTAACATATTTATTTTTAAGTGGTAAATGGAACAGCTACTTAGAGAAATCTGGATTGGACTATTCTAATTTCTAAAGGTGTATAATTGCAGAACTCCAGAACTATGCACAAGCTGAACTCATCTCGAAAAAAAAAAAGCATTGCTTAAAAATGGAATTGTCGCTCTGGGAAGCCAAGGCAGGTAGATTGCTTGAGCTCAGGAGTTTAAGACCAGCCTAAGCAAGAGCAAGACCCCAACTCTAAAAAATAAAAATATAAGTTAAAAGTAATGGAGTGTTATGTGTAATTGTAAAGAAGAGCTGGCTGGGCAGTGCCCATAACTCAGTCAGCAGGGCACTGGACACATAGACTGAGGGTGGCGGGTTTGAATCCAGCCCCGGCCAGCTAGAAACAACAACGCAACTGCAATAACAACAACAACAACAAAATAGCTCGGTGTTGCGGTGGGCACCTGTAGTCCCAGCTACTTGCGAGGGTGAGGCAAGAGAATCACTTAAGCCCAAGAGTTTCAGATTGTTGTCAGCTGTGATGCCACGGCACACTACCCAGGGCAACAGCTTGAGACTCTATCTCAGAAAAAAAAAAGAAGAAGAAGAAGAAGAGCTGGTTAACTGGAAAGGAGTTTTGAAATATCTATGAAAAGTTCTTATGCTCTATGTATACAAAGACAGTAATGGCACAAGGTAAGCAGTTGGCGGCTTTACATTTTCATTATGAGGTAACTATAGATCCATCCCTCTATATTGTGGGAGTTTCTAATGTGACCAAAAATATCCACATCACTGCACTGTTCAAGCTGTAGGCTCAGATGAGAGTTACAAAATGGAGCTACTTTTCCTATGCCTGTATGAAAACTACTATATCCATCTTTTTTAACACCGAGAATGAGTATGTAAAAAGTTAACAGCTTAATATTTACCATTCAGGCTGGGTTCACCATTTCTACATGAAAAAAAAAGAAAACCCAAGAAACAAAGAGCATTACCAGATTTAGGGTAGGTGGAGATGACAAGGTCATCTGGTCTTGCCTGGAAGGCATCCACATCATCCCAATATTTAACAAAACTTTCGTACATCAGAATCCCATGGATTTCCTTAAAGTATTTATCATAGTCAGAGTTGGAAGACTCCATCTGGAAAAAAACAAAAAAGGTTGAGTTTCGCACTCTGTACACACTTTATAATGTTTCAGCATTAACAAGCAGGTGTGAGGAGGTCCCCTGCCTGCTGGTGCCCCTCAGTAGAAGAGCACAAGAGATTATAAGTAACATGCTTAAGACTTAGTAAAAATGTGAGAGATTCATTAAGATCTTCAACAATGAATACAAGCAACAAACCCTTCAGTTTCTATAATTGATAGGGCATTAAAAATAGGCCCAGAAATATAATGTTTGGGGGTAAAGGGTTCAATTATTCATTAAATGACAAGAAATATCAATGGTCACATTTGATTGTTATTGCTAGATAGCTAAGTCAGAGCATTTTTAAATGTTTCTGAGTTATGTGTTATTTAATGAAAAGAATTCAAATGCTTGATGAATGTATTTAAAAGAAAATGAAATTAATGACACTGTGATGGTTACATTAGGCACAGAATCTTAAGGTGGGAAAAATTTTTTTGGAACCTCTGAAATTACTTCTGGTTTTTTGTCTTTCACGTGACCAGTAACATAGTGGATACTTTCACTGAAATGATTTGATTGAAAGTTGTAAGGTCAAGCAAGATCATTAGCTGCTAATTTGTCTCCTCATTCCATTGCAATCCATTTCATGTCCTGGATTAGTGCTAAGATCTTTCCTCATTGGCTTTTAACTTCCTTTGATATCATTTTTTTTTTGTAACTGCCAAACGCACCCCATTTGACGTAGCATCCCAGCAAACGCTGCCCGTCCTTGCCGTTCCCCTGCTTAGATCTCCCTCGTGTTCACTTTTGCCCAGAAAGCTGCCTGGCAAGTTATTTTCACACACGTATTGCAACTTTTTAAAAACTTTCCTCTCAGGCACATTAGATGTAATTTCTCCAAAATTATGAAATTTCTCTTCCCAAAATAGAAGTCAGTCTTTTCAATAAATCCCATGTTTCCCAAACCTTCTCCTTACTCTCAGAAAATAGACATTTCATGCAAAGAAATCAGTAGTGAAGGCACAGCTTGAGCCCTGCCCATTGATACGTTTATTCATGTGAATTCTTTCTTGGTGTTCAGCCAAGTCTGTGCGAATTGGCTTGTAGTTAACTGGGAGTGGTGGATTTATCATTAAATTGTTGGCTGACTTCTAGCTGCCCCTTCGTGTCAATTTTGGTCTTAGAGGTAAAGTAGGAAGTGTGTAATAAAATCTCTTCCCTTTTTCATTTCTTTTGGCAAGTTGTCTCGTATCACAACGTATGGGTTCCTTTTCTAGCCAGACTCTTGTTTTTTCAAAAGATATACTTTAGTTTAGAAACTGTCAGTTTCATGTCCTAAGTATGTAGGTCACAGTTGTTCAGAAACCTCAACAGAAAATAGTGAAAATGTGACCTATAAGCTTGATTAAATTCAGAAAGTTTTTCTCCTCCTTCCTCTGTCTCCTCCTTTCTCCATCTTCCCACCTGCCTTTCATCCAGCAAATAATCCAAGAGTGAATGCTCACCTTCTTCCTAGCATTGTAATAAATCCTGGAATATTTTGGCATGGTAGGTACAGACACATTCTCTTAGGTTTGCCTGGATTGGGGTAAAGTGGCCGAAAGTACATCTTTCTATGCCAGACTCCATCACCGTGATGCAAAGTAAGTGGTCAGGAATATGCATTTGTTTATTTGATCAAGTTTCTCTGGGCTTTGTACTTTCGTCTAAGAATTCATAGATAACAGAGGTACTGTTTACTCTACTTGTCAATGATTTACCACAAACTATGAATGTCTACTAAATTTACCTGATGTTTCTCATATAAGAGTGCTTCTTGCAAGGCCCCTAATCACAGCTGTGACCATGAAACGTGAAGTCCCTCTTAATTCCCCTCAATAGTGAAAAGAGAACCCATCTAGTGTTCAGGACTTACAGGGGACCCATACTCCTGCAATTTTATGTTAAAACTCTTTAAGTAGCAAAACAGTATATAAATGCAAGATATTTAATGACAAACATATAACTTTACAAGTCTTCAAATATTTTGTATTCTTAATTTACTACCATATGACTTATTTTGTTCTCCCTATATTTTTGTTTTAAGAGATGTGTGATATACTATTTGCATGCCATATTTTCTAGACCTAAAAATCTAAGTATTAATATCAATAATAAAAGAATACAACCTGTCCGGATGATCCTGTGGAAGAAATTGAATAATCCAGTTTAGCTCTCTTCCAATACCAAGTCAGGTTTTAAGCTGCATAAAAAGAGATGAGAACCACTGTGCATTTGGAATGTTGCTGGTGAGTTTATATTCTGAATGCCAGAGGGGCGGGGCTTCCTCTGAGGAGCTTGGCTCTGGGAGCCTGTGAGGCAGTGATTGCCATAGATATGGAGCACACCTCCACAAGCTCCAGCCACGCTCATTCACAGAGCTGGAGGGAGGGGAGCCGCTGCCAGCTTTTTTTTTTTTTTTTTTGGCTCATAATCAAATCACTAAATTTGTCAATAGCCATCAGGGGATTAGGGAAAGGGAAGACGAGAAAGTAAAGGGGAAGGTGAGAGAAAAGAGGCCTGGAGCCAAACATATGAAGATAGGAAGGGAGAGCCTTACTCACTCCCTGATGAATAATAACATAGATGGGTTTGAACTTGAAAAGCGTGAACTTAGAGGTGGTGCTCGTAGCTCAAAGGAGTAGGGCATTGGCCCCTTATACTGGAGGTGGAAGGTTCAAACCGAGCCCTGGCTAAAAAGTGCAAAAAAAAAAAAAAAAGCGTGAATTTAGGGAAGGAAGGCAGAAGAGTGAAAGATGGGGAGAACGATGGGGGCAGTGAGGACCCTGGGTCAGCAGGACTTGGTTAGTTGGCTGAAACTTACCGAAGAAGGCTTAGGGGTACTTGGTTGTGTCCTAAGACGTCAACTGGAAAGCAACTGTTTAAAATCTTTGTCTTCAACTCTTAAGTAGCCCTGGAGGGTTGGGGGGTGGGGGGGGGAGATAGCTAAAGCAAGAATGTAAATGCTGTGTACTTTGGATTGTTGCATCTTTTGGAAACCTCACTTCCATCTGCCCCCAGCCACACAGCAGTGCAGTGTGGAATCCTCAGGTAAAGGCGGCATTGACACTGTTGGAATTTAGAGGGGAATGAGAACAGTAGATGCCAGAGGGCTGTGGATGGAAGGATCCTCAATCTTTTTTCTATTCATTTCTTTGTACCTAACCCTTTCTCAGGTCAGAAAACCTCCCTTCTCTGCTCCCTCCATTCCTCCAACAGCAGTTCCAACCCCAGACAAGCTTTTCTTCACCTCAATTCTGCTTACATTGTCCGTTGGAGGAGAGACCTCACTCTCTCCGACCTTCAGACTTGAATTTTCTCCTCACTAGCACTTTCTCTGCTGTGCCAATCTTGAGAGTCACTTATTAAACTGCAAATGCTTTGAAAACATAATCTGACCTTGTAATGAGCACACTGCCTGGCATCTAATAGGGTAGATGTTTGATATATATTTACATCAAAAGTGGTCGATGTACATGCATTTAAGAAAAATGAGCAGAGATGCATAGCTGTCATCGGACAATAACATCTGACCTTGTCCAAAGTAAAAAGAGTGGTTAGGAAGGGGAAGTAGAGAAGTAATAACCAGGGGTCCAATTTAGATTCTGATATCACTTGGTTTTATGTAGTCAGTCATATTATTTGAGTTAAATAAAATGTGGCTTAAAACAATCATTAAATATACAAATTCAATAATACTATAGTTTTAACCATTAACATAGCTTCACTTTAATTTTTTAACGATAAAGATCTATGAGGTTTCCCTTATTGTTCAGCAAATTTATTCCTTAATTCAAAAAGGCGGAAAATAAGCACAAGCTAATCTGAAGAGGTTTAATCTTAGAGAACATCTGTCTGTCTTTCACTCACTTATAAACAGTTGGCTTCAGGGATGTTACAATACTTCTGAATCATGTGACGCTGAGGGTCAATACACATCTAGCCTTAGAAAAATAATCCAAATGATAAAGATTAACCTGCTGATAAACGTGGCCCTGAAACTTCATTCTTCTCTGTGAGTAATGGGTACAGAATGACTTACAAAATATCTAAATGAAAACGGCCCTGAAACTTCATTCTTCTCCGTGAGTAATGGGTACAGAAGGAGTTACACAATATTTGGATCAAATAGTCTGATCTTTCTCCTTCCTTTCTAGAAAAGCACCAGGTTTTAAATGTTTATCTTGACCTTCAGAATTTAAGCAGATACCCCAGAAATATGTAATTCTCTGATGTACTAACAAACATGTGAAAATATAACTGAGGCAGATATGCCTTGATACAGCAGTCATGCTCTAAAACCCTGCCAAGAAATGTGGAGCCTGCATGTCTGTGTGACGGAATGTTCCCAGTGACCGTTCCTAGTTGTGATCATTGTGCATTTTCTTATCCTTGTGTACCACACATGTCCTTTAGTTTGAGTTTGATGGTCCTATACAGCCTGGTTGGCAAATGACAAGATTTTAATATTAATAGTATAAAAATAAGAGACATGGTAACTGAGTTTTCAAAATTAGTAATAGACTTTTTGTAGAGCAGTTATGAGTTTAAAAAAAGTGGCCAGGTAGGACAGAAAGGTCTTTTATTTTCCTACTCTCTTGTATAAGTTTCCATTTATTAACACCTTGCATTACTATGGTTCCTTTGTTAGAACTGAAGAACCAGTATGGACACATTAGTATTAACTATGGTCCATAGTTTACATCGGTGTCCACACTTCAGTAAATGCAATTTTCTGAGTGTTGATACATGCATAATGTCATACATTTGCCATTGCAGTATCCTAGGGAGCACAGGGTGTCCCAGTAGTCTTCTCTGCAGTCGCCATACATAGGGAAAGTTGGGAACTGCACCAAAATATACCTTTATTAACAAAATATTAATTACAAAATTTTACAAAGAAATAGCCTACATGCAGAGAACATTTTGTAAATATTTAGTAAAATTTTGCACTATTTTGTAAATGTACATTTAGCTACAATTTCCCATTTTCCTAGTGTAAGGGGACTTTAGGAACAACTTTTGGAATATCCTGTAGTTTCACTGCCATAAAGATCCTTTAGGCTCAACCCATTCACTCACCTATTCTACCCCCAATCCCTAGAAATCACTGACATGTTTATTCTACATAGTTTTAGTACTGGACAAAGAGGGTCTGGCCACCTGTCTCTGTCCAGCCAATATGCAGGGACGAGGATAATCCCATCGAGCTTTATTTTCAGAAGGCCAGAAATTCTGGAGAACAGTGAGAGTTGCCTCTTCAAGACTTGGTTACAAATGCAGCCATTCTTATAGAAAGTTACAAAGAGAAAGCATCTAGTAAACTACTGCTTAATCTAAAACTTAATTTACAGCAACATCAAAGTAAACTGTTCTCTAGCAATGGAAAAGTATCTTTAACCTCCTGGTGCTATCACACACACACACCCCCACCCCAGGGAGTATTTGCTCAATTCTTTAAGATATCCATCTTTATGGCCTGGGTCTGGGGGCTGGAGACATCAAGGAAAAAGAATATTGCTTAAGCAAGGTGGTGGAGGCTCATGTTGTCTTTTAACTACCCTTACTTTATCCTAACCAACTTTATTCTCCTCTTCACTACTATTCTATTACATTTCATATATATGAAATAGACATTGCATGGGAATATCTACTGTGGTTTACTGCATTTGCCTGGGGATCAAACGCATTCAGGAACAACATGCATCACAAAAGAACAAGGCAGGCTGACCGCTACAGCGATGGCAGTGACATTCCTGTCCCAGCCACTGGGGCTCCGGACCATCCACTGCTAGCCTTGAGTTTTGGTTTTCTCAGGGGATAAGGCTTGATGCACGAATGACGTCATCTAGCCAACTTGATGGCCACATGGGTGGTGAGGAGACATCTCAGGGCCAGTCCACTTTCCCTCAGGCTGTTGGCAGGCCCTTCCCTCCAAGTCCTGAGGATAACCAGTCACCATCTGAAATGTAAGCAGGCTTCACAGAGCAGGGCGAGGGCCTCTTCCTAAGCAATTCCAAGTGTGGCACAGAGTCGCTCAGGTGACAGCCAGGTGTGCTATGACAGAAATTAAATGTCATTTGCTAGAGGGCTAGGAAAGGCGGGAGGGTCATCCTGGGTGGCGGGTCCAAGGCCAGGGTAGTAAGCTTCTTGGTCTGAGTGAGTCTGTTACTGCAATGCCGGACCTGAAGAAATCTCAAAGTCTATTCCAGGACAGAGAAGCCAACAGAGGGAATAGAGATTATTATGAAGCAGGTGAAGAGACAGTGGCTGATTCCTGTTGCTGTTTTAGCCAAGCCTGCTCCTCCCGGAGTCCTGGGGCCTCACTCTAGCTCTCGCCTCCATCCTCTGTCAATCTGTGAAGGTGGTTTCGGCTTCACCTTTTCCACGTGTCAAACAGCAGTTGGAGTCAGATGGTGTCACCTTTTCAGACTGGTTTTTCAACATAACCATGTGCACTCATGATTCCTCTGACGGTTTGGTGACTTGAGACCTCATTTCCTCTAGCTGCTGAACTTTACCCCGTCACCTGGACACACCACAGCTGTTTATCATTCGCGCCTCAGAGGGCATCTGGGTTACCTGCAGTTTTAGGCAGTCAGGAATGAAGTGGCCATACACGCTGATGTGCAGGTCTCTCTTGCACAGTGGCCGTGGCTCTTACCTCGCCGGAGTAAATGCCTAGTGTGTGGTCTCTGGGTGGTGTGGTATGACAGTGATCAGCTTCTTGAGAAAGGACCACGCTGTCTTCCAAAGTGCTGCTCCGCTCTCCATTCCCGGCAGCTGAGAGGGAGACCTGCTGCTGCCCCACAGCCTCACCAGCATCT